CCCTCTACTCCCTGCTGCCCCTCTACTCCCTGCTGCCCCTCTACTCCCTGCTGTCCCTCTACTCCCTGCTGTCCCTCTACTCCCTGCTGCCCCTCTACTCACTGCTGCCCCTCTACTCCCTGCTGCCCCTCTACTCCCTGCTGCCCCTCTACTCCCTGCTGCCCCTCTACTCCCTGATAGATAGTAATAGAACAATGAGCTGCTCCTTTATAGATATAATACAGCGAGTGAGCATTGTCACCAGAGGACAGGAAGTGTGTTACTGGCGGGATCACCAGGTGAAAATAAAGGGAGTTGTCACTCTAGTGTATGACTACAAAACACCTCCCCCTCTTCAACAGGGATTTAGCGATTTAACAAACACGGTTTACATACACATCCATATTTGTTTTGGGGCAGATATGGAGGAGGAGAAAAGGAGGGGCGGAGCTGTGTGGGCGGAGCTGTGTAGTATTTATAATTTGCTGATTCAAATACAATGAACAAAGGTTGATGCTCAATATTGGTCGATGGGATTTCCGCCGCGCCCGATCACCTGACGATCGCACAATAATCAAGTTTCGCATCAATAGAGTATTAGCATCAAAGTCTATCAGACCTTGTCCCTCCCACCAGACGTGACTCCGCCACTGACGCGTTTCACCCAATGTGAGATCAGTCATCGGGGAGTCAGCTTAAGGGGACTGAGATCACATGGGGCAAAATGCATCAGTGGCAAAGTCACTTCTGGAGGACTGCATGGGTGCGGGCTGTACAATCACGCATCGTATGGGGGAGGGGGATCCCGGAGAGCCCTGCACCTGCGTTGGCAGGTTACTGCCACGGTGTGATGTCATCATATGGGCGCTATCAGTCTTATTTCCTCATCTGTCACCGTTGTAGGGTGTTGTGGGGTGTTGTAGGGTGTTGTGGGGTGTTGTGGGGTATTGTAGGGTGTTGTGGGGTATTGTGGGGGTGTTGAAGGGTGTTGTGGGGTATTGTGGGGTGTTGTTGGGTGTTGGTGGTGTTGTAGGGTGTTGTGGGGTATTGTGGGGTGTTGTGGGGTGTTGTTGGGTGTTGCGGGGTATTGTAGGGTGTTGTGGGGTGTTGAGGGGTGTTGTGGGGTATTGTGGGGTGTTGTGGGGTGTTGTGGGGT